GGGGCCCCCCCCCCCCCGTCTGTGGGATCGGCCGTGGGGGGACCCCCTGGTCGCTGATTGTCCACCGGGGGGGCAAGTGCCTCTCCTGACTCAGGAGGCACCAGTCGCCCATGCAGTTTTGTATCTACCTTACAATACTTTTGTGTAGTCTGTGTTTTCTTAGCTTGCTTGCATGGATATGGTTTCTGGAAACTTCATTTTTAAAAGTGCACTCTTCAAAACAGCATTTAGGGCAGGAAAGCGTTTGAAGGAATTAGTGAATGCCTGTTGTGTAACTTTAAGGTGTATAGAGAGAATTTCTGTTTTCAGTACTCCCTAGCATTTTTAGGACCATTAAATTAACTTGATAAAGCTTTCTAATTGTTATCTTTTAATCTTATTTCCCCAGGCAGCACATCTATATAAAAGTTCTGATGACAGATTGACTCACTCTCCAACACTATGCTTCCAATAAAAGGACTTAGAAAATTAACAAACAAATCATTGTACACACTGAGGCAAGCAGACTGACCCCTTGAATAAGACAGAAAGAAAAACACTGAAGTGAAGAAGGTAATACACTGCCAACTTAAAGGAGTAAAGCAAATTTGCCCTAAATTATAACCTGACTGACCTCTCCTAACTTCAGCCAGGAAAGACAAACTTAAAATTTGCTCCGAAAAAGTTCCAAACAAACACGGAACAAATATATGGCAGACAAGAGTACAAACACAACCAAGTGGAGCCAGACATGAAGACTGTGGCCAACAAACTCAATTCAGTTGAACAAACTGCAGTACAAAGAGTAAATTACCAGTAGATACATCTTAAGTCTTCCTATTAAAATACACACAGAAGTCACTTTGTATAGTACTATAATTACCTCAGCTTCTATAGAAAAGACAGCAGTGAAATTTTCTTAGCAGCTCTGTTCCGCTGGAGTCTAGTAAATTAAGCAATGGTCTAGAAAATGTACCTGAGAGAAACACTTGGTTTTTGATGCCAGCTTTGCCATATATTTATTGTATTACTTTCAGCATATATATTTTCTGTGTTTCAGTTTCCTACTCTATCAGATAGAAATACTTTTTTTACCTTGCCTGAGTGTTTTGGGAGTTCATTTATTAATGCTGATATCACTCTTGCAAGATGCTAAATACTGTGGATCTGATCCAGCTCCCACTGACATCAGCAAGAGTCTTTCTATGAGAATTAGATTAGTCCTGATAACTCAGTGAGAATAACTATTATTAAAAGGTTCTCTCAGCAGTGAAGCTCAGTGGCACTGTGACTGTCTTAATATTAAGACAATTAAAGTGAAAAGTTTTCAGATTTTAAGCTTTCTGAAAAGCAACTGGTTTAGTAATAAGACCAATGCATTTCTTTTCTAGTGAACAATGCTTCTATTGTAAAGGAAGAGAAACAAAAAAAAAAATCAATTGAACTTTTGTTCACACTTTATTTATGCATATCATACATCATAGATCAGATGTTTCAAAGCTATTATGGTTTTTGGTCAACAACAAAATTATCAAGCACAAGAGATCCCCAGAACTTAAAGTCCTTCAGTTGTTTTCATAAAATGGAGGCCAACACTAACCATGGAGAAATATGATGAATTGAAAAATAATAAATCTTTACTTTATTCTTATTATAAATGTAATATTGGAAAAAAATTTAATAACTAAAAATATGCACGGAAAAATATGTATTAGTCAAAGCAAGCACAGAACGTGATGGCTAAAACCCATCAGGGATGCTGCTTTTCCCTGATAAATAAAATCACAAATTCTCTGATAAAACCCCCCAAATCCGTTATTAAAATAAAATGTCTCCATAGCCCCCCTCCTTCCCCCTCCAACAGCCCCCACAGCCCCCCAGCCCTCCTAGTGCCCCTCACTTTCCACCGCCCCAACAGCCCCCTGGCCCTGCTGGTGCCTCTCACCCCCACTCCCCCACCTGTCAAGACTACAGGGCCAGAGATCCTGGTCTGCAGCCCCCTGCCCATGGTAGGAGGTGGTGACTGCTGCAGCAGAGCAGAACCTGGCTCCCCCGTGCTACCTACCTGCTTCAGGCTCAGGTTCCCAGCGTGCTTCCCTCCCCCAGGGCCTCTGCAGCCCGGCAGGTATGACACAAGAAACAGCGGGGCCTCATGGAGAATCTGCTTGTTGTTATGAGTTCTGCACTGCCCTAGTGATGTGTCCCTTGCACATGCAGATATAGTAAGGGCAGCAGCATGGGGTTGTGCCAGTCAAAGCTGCTGCACACAGGGGGCACATCACCAAGGCAGCATGGAGCTTGCAGCGACAAGCAGCTTCTCCACATGGCCCCGCTGTTCCCTGCTGCACAGGACCATGCCCACCAGACTGCGGAGGCCCTGTGGGAGGGCAGCAGGGCAGGAGCCCTAGCCTGCAGCCGCTGCCCACCCCGCACGCAGATCTGGGGAGGTGTGGGTCCCCCTGCCCCTGGGAGCTCATGCACCAGCAGGGAGCTGGCTACATCCCATCCCCAGGAGGAGCTGCCTGCAGCCCTGTAACGCCCCCCACTTGGGCCCTATAGCTGTGCATTGTGGCCCTGAGCCCCAAGCCCCATGCACCGCCTGGCTGGGCAGCAGCCCCCGCCCTGCCCAACTCCCCCCCCCCCCCCCCCCCCCCCCCCCCCCCCCCCATGGGGACTCAATTCCCCGCTCCACCTACTTACCTGCAGGAGCTGCTCTCCAGGCTACCTGGGGCCATATACATACAC